TGCCCTTTTTTGGTCAGAATGAAAGTAAAGCCACTATTTTTTAAGAGATCATATTCACTTCACATGCAATCCTCAGCAGATCTGAACTAAAATTTCAAAAGTTAAAGACCGTATATTTTTATTCCTTCTTGCTCTGTTAAATAAATATTCGATAGATACTATCATCCTGGAAGAGGATTAGGAGACAAATATATAGGAAATTAGTTCAAGTAACCTAGTGGGCAATCCCCATTTTAATGGAAAAGAAGTTTCAAATAGGTTTCAAATAGGACTGATGAAGACGGTATGGTCAATTGAGTAGAGGATTCCTTCCACCATGTTTTACAACCAGGTAGATGTAGCCAGCATCTTTCAAGAGAGGAAGATGCAAAATCCTGTTGAGAAGGCATTGTGTTCGAAAGGTCCAAGCATGTCATTTTAAAATTTTAATCTAGAAAAAAATATTCCTACAGCATATATATTGTGAAGTATGTTAATATCATAAATAAATTGCCAGGACAGTATAAAATACCTTTTTATTTCATTATACAATTGAAATTGTATTTATTAAAAAAGAAAAAAAAGATTGTCAAAAGAAAAACATAACAAGCATTAGTATTATATATTGAATGCCTAAGAGCAGACTATTAATAACCAGAACTTTAGGGTGAAGGGTGTTTCAGAGAGCTACATGGCATAATAGTACAGTGATTTAATAACTACTTTAACTATAAACAACAAGAGCAACCAAAGTAATCTCTAAGTATTGTCCACTTTGAGATTTCCAACAGATTTCTGCTGAGTTTGTCACAGTAAGTTACTTTCAAACATATAGGTTTTGTTGTCACTGTATTTTTGTGATAGAACATTAGTATTATTTAATTGTGGCCAATTCACTGAAATATGCAGTATTTATTGAAATTCTGCAAAAAAAAGAATGATGGAACATTCAAATTCAGGTATTTTATGACCTACTTAAAATGACAGAGAAATCACAGTATAGTTTGTGTAGTGAAAAGCAAATGGAAGCTTTAGAAACTCTTAGAGCATCAAAAAAAACTTTTTTAATGAATGCTAATGTGCTATTGTTAATGAATGCTTTTTGCACACAACTGGAAAAGTCTATTAATTCCTTTTAATACTTAGAAGATTCCATTTATTATTAAAGAATCCAATAAACCATTTTTTTCCCAGCTCTACAGAATTTGGTCTAACATATTTTACTACCTGTGTGTGTTCTCTTCTTCTGATTTAATTCTAGTTGTCCTGATTAAATCATCCATCATTTTTAGGAAGATTTTTCTTATTGGTTTTCTGGTACTGCCTCACTGGTTTTAGCTATTTGCTCCTTTCTCTTCCTGATATGTCACTTTGAAAATATTTCAGTGACTTTCTTATATTAAATTGTCTAATAGCATTTTAGTTTCATTTTAGTGTCAGTTCATTTTTCTATTTCTTATCCTTCATGCTTCCTGTATCTTTTCATCAGGTGTTGAAATTTTGGATTTCTATTTCTATTTGGGAACCTTCGTTAAAATAAGCAGCCCCCCCCCCCATAATAAATGTTATGCCATACTATCATTACATAGCTTGTAAATATTCCATAAACCTTAAATCCTGTGACACTTAGGAGTAAGAATTTTCTAATGTATTGGATTTGGATGATTATAGTAGCTGCTTGTTTTTCCTTCTTTTATGGACTAAGGAATGTTTTATATTAACCCTGAAAAGACCATACAAATTTTGTGTTTTGTGCAACATGGCAAGTAAAGAGATATACTTTATGGGGATGGAGGATTAACTCTTCAACTTACCCAATGAAGGTCAACCAAGATCAAAATCCACACCAGAAATGTGTGTTTGGCAGTACACAGGATACATGATAATTAGGTTGGCAATATCTAAACATGGACCCAGAAAATGTGTGGAGGTAGAGGAGTAGAAGAACTCATGCCTCAGTGAAGAGAAGTACAGGGAAAGGTAAAAATCGAGAGGTTGCATTTTAAAGACTCAGAAGATCTTAAGAAGATACGAGGATGGATGGTGGTTTAGGTAACACATACACATTAGCAAATGGTGCCCATGGGTGACTGACATGTGAAATAGTATACAGCGAGTTTCTGGAAATGGCACCAAAGAATGATTCCAGGTAAAGGACAAAAAGATATACAGAGAAAACATCATTAAAGATAGTCATGAAGTTACAACAATATGGTATTTTTTTCTCTTTCTCTCTTCCAAGTGATACCCCAAAGTCCTAGCATCATCAACTAACCTCATGACTTGTGGAGTCAATCTTGTGAACTGTAAAACTGGGTCCAAGATTAATAATTGCAACTTGAATCAATATCTGTATTCTAAGCTGATAGTATTTTCTATAAATGTAATTCTCAATAGGATGAGCTTATTATTATTTCTTGTGAGACTAAGGGATATTTGAAGAAAGAAGGCTGTAATGGCAGAAAAAATAATGTAATTCTGTATTGGGGAAGCGAAGAAAATCTACTTTTAAAAATACAAACTACAGAAGTAACATCTCAGCCAACTGGAATACAAAAAAAGGTCATGATCCTTCACTGGGGCACAGCTGGCACACACTGGAAAGGGTCATATCAGAATTTTCATGGGAAAAGAATAAGGTTCTTGTTTATCAAAGGAAGTCATGAAATAAAGAAGAAAATAATATCAGTGTTGCATAATGACTAACTCAGTGTTGTCACTCAAATTACAGCAGTCAACAATTGAGTGGCTTGGATTGGCCTAATGATCAAAGTAGGAATTGGGCTCATTTAGTGGTACTTACGAATCCGTAATTATCATCATCATTATAGGTAGTTCCACAAATTGTCAATCCTCAGTTTAAAACTGATACCCACAAAATATACGACAGACACACAACTGACATTATATGAAAGTGTACTTTAAAGATCTATAGAATGTGGGGCAACTGGGCGGCTCAGTCAGTTAAGCCTCTGACTTTGGCTCAGGTCAGGATCTTGCGTTAGAGAGTTCAAGCCCCACACAGGGCTTTGCGCTGACAGCTCAGGTTCTGGAGCCTGCTTCGGATTCTGTGTCTCCCTCTCTCTGTGTTCCTCCCCTGCTTGCGTTCTGTCTCTCTCTGTCTCAAAACTAAATAAATATTATAAATAAATAAACAAACATTAAAAAATAAAGATCTATAGAATAAACGTTAGAAAAATGTGACATTAGCTCCTAAAGCAGTGTTGCTTTGAGATCTCTCCTTGAACTCTATCAGCATCGTCAAGTATGCTGGGTGTGCACACAAATTTCTGATCCATGCCTCTGCCTGCTGAGTTGGCTCAATGAACGTGAGTTGGGGTGGAAGGGTGGAAACTCATTCTTTAAGAAGCCTTTTAGGTGATTAAGTGAAGCAAGTTACCCTGACCCCGCACTGGGAGAACACTGGCCTAGAGTAAGGGATGACAGTAAACATCCCTTTCATTGTACATGTGTATATAAATGCATTTTTTTAATACCTGTCAATTGTTCATGCAAACAACAGTAAGCTTAAAAGAAAAAAAAGAAATTGTACCCTTATATTATAATAATACATGATATATTTTTTAAAAGATCTTCTCTAGCATCTAAATTTCTGAAGTCAGTTTTATTAGTCAGATGAGACAGTAAGAAGCACAAATTAAAAATTAACTATAAAGCACATTCCTCTAAGATTAACTTCATTTATATAATGAGGTGTTGTAATTCAGAATTTAGAAAGTAACAGCCAAGTTGAGGACAAGCCCTTCTCATTTAATTGCCCCTCCTTGGTTGGTTATCAGTCAGAGCTTAAATCCTTTTGATTCTAAAACAATAGTTTCACTTTCAGGGCTTTTTAGAGATATTTGTAGGAACTTTTCTCCCTCTTGTTTCATTGATCAGCATAAAGAGAAAATATCTATATGGGGCAGGCCATTATTCATATGTTTTAATTATTTTAAAGAGAAATATAATTTCTGTCTAGCAAAAAGATTACCCTCTTAATTACAAATAAAATCTCTCACTGTGTGTATATGTATAGCATGTAGACAAACAGACATCTATTTAGCTATTATTCATTTTGACTCTTAAAAATTTTTTTATTAATGAAGTTGTTAATAAACCACATTGTTTATATCTTTATCTGAAAAGATAGTACTTACTGGTTTTATTGTGAACTATAAGAAATAAAGTATTTTGTGTTTCTAGTGTTGCACAAAAACCACTTTTAGCCTTACTAATTTTTTTTTTTTTGCTTATTTGCTATTTTATAGGGATTAATGCCAAATGTGTACCATTTCAATGATGTATTTCCTACTTTGTGGTTCTTATATAATTTCTATTATGTAAAAATTTAAGTGTGAGAATATTTTTACATTGGCCAGGGTGAAAGAATTGCTCTTCAAAATAAATCAAAATGATTGCTTCAATAAAAACTGACAACATCATACATACAGTTTGGAATGTAAAAGCTATTAAAAATTACAGACCTTAAAAATATCTTTTATTTGAGACATTTTTATTTGGTGGGTCTATTAAGTCAAACTTCTAGTTTTGTGATATCTTACAATAAGAATGAATCTTCATCCTCACAACTGAGTTGTGTTCCGTTTAAGTAGAGGGTTTGCCCAAATTATGACCAGGCTTGACAAAGAGACCTATTCTCAAACTGGATTGTAAAGTAGCCACTGGGACACCCTAACAAAACAGTAGAGTTACAGTAAGGGAAACAATACCCTTTTCTTCCCAGTTCAGAACACAAGCCAATTTGACTAATTTGGGAACTGTGACAAAATTAGTAATGGCTTGTACGTGCATAATCTGAGGATTTCATGTTTAACTTATATTTTAATACTTTGAATGTAAGGTAAAATAAACAGAAAATCAAGAAGATTCAGAAGATTCACATATTGCTGAGTCCCAAAGTGTTATTGTAATAAACAAGCTATAATTATAACTGTGGCTATGCGTCTTCAAGTTTTTCTTGAAAGAAGAAAATCCCAGTGCTTGCTTTATCAATATATGCATACATACATACATACACACACACTAAAATTGGAACAGTACACATAAGATTAACAGAGCCGTGTGCAAGGATGATTCACACATTTGTGAATCATTTTGTATTTGTCACTCTTTGTCCTAGAAGAGATGGGGGTGGGGACGCAGGATGACAAGGGTGATTAAAGGGTAACTAATCTCTACAACTTATATTTCATTCACTTTAACATATAAAACACCAGTGCTACACCACCTTGGTGTATGAATACAGTGTTGTATGATTCTCTTTACTTTCTCTGTACTTTTAAATATAAAAATCTATCACCATAGTCGTCAATTTCCAAACCTATGAAAATTATCAGAAGTGCATATTAAGATTTATTCTTAATGATACTCTATCCTGCCATATCTGTAATAGGGAAAATTGGAAACAATCTAAAATTTGAATACAGGAATGGCTAAGTAAATTAGAGTAGATTAACATGATTATTATGTATTTATTTGGAAATCTTATTTTCTATACTAGTTCCCTATTGCCACTATAAAAAATTACCACTGACTTAGCGGCTTAAAATAACACAAATTTATTACCGAACAATTCTGGAGATTGCAAGTCCGAAATAGACCTCACTGGGAAAAATGAAGATGTCAGTGGGGCTGAATTCTTTCTGGGGAGAATACTTTTCCTTGCCTTTTTCAGCTTTTAGAGGCTACTGCATGTGCTGCCTCTTGGCCCTTTGCTCACATCACTCCAACCTTTTGTTTCCATCCTCACTTCTCCTACCATGGACTCTGACCCTCACGTCTCCCTCTTAGAAAGATCCTTGTGATTACACTGTGCCCACTAGAAATATCCAGGAGAATGTCCCCATCTCCAGGTGCATTAAATTAACCACATCTGCAAGGCCCCTTTTGCCATGTCAAGTAACATATTCACAGGTTCTGGGGATCAGGATGTGCGCACCCTTCAATGGCCGGCGGGGGTGAGGGGGGTTGGTTGGTATCCAGCCTACCACATTTTGTAAGCAAATAAGAGCGTGTGAATATTTGAAGTGTTTAGAACAGTGCCTGGAACAAAATACCATCCACTGTGATTTGTAAAAGGAATAGGTGGATACATGAACTTCTCACTGCTTTCACAGACTGATCTAAACCATCATCTCTTGCCTGAATAATTCCAGCAGTCTCCTTACATGCCTCCCTGCTTCTCCCCTCACCTTCATCTAGTCTCAGCAAAACAGCCAGTGATCTGTTTAAAACATAAACCAGATTGCATTTCTCCTTTGCTTAAAACCCTGCACTGTTTTCCCCCATTTAATTCATCTCTTTGGGTGACCTCCATAGCCCTACACCATGTGCTCCCTCTAATATGACCTATTTAAACAAACTACACTTGGGGCGCCTGGGTGGCGCAGTCGGTTAAGCGTCCGACTTCAGCCAGGTCACGATCTCACGGTCCGTGAGTTCGAGCCCCGCGTCACGCTCTGGGCTGATGGCTCAGAGCCTGGAGCCTGTTTCCGATTCTGTGTCTCCCTCTCTCTCTGCCCCTCCCCCGTTCATGCTTTGTCTCTCTGTCCCAAAAATAAATAAACGTTGAAAAAAAATAAAAAATTAAAAATAAATAAATAAATAAAAAAATAAACAAACTACACTTTTATTTGGTCTGCTATACAGTCCCCTTATTGTTTCTCCAAAACACTAGCCTCATCCCCACCTCAGGACTTTTTCACTTGTGGTTTCCCCTGCCTAGAATACACTTCTCCTAGATACTCATTTGGCTCACACCCCATTTCTTCATATCTACTCACTGAGGCCTACCCTGGCCACCCATTTCTATGCTCCTAATCCTCTTCTATTATTTTTCCATAGCACAACAGCTTTTGGTATTCTATATATTTTTTTTTAATTTTTAGTTTTTATTTTTTTTTAACGTTTATTTATTTTTGAGACAGAGAGAGACAGAGCATGAACGGGGGAGGGGCAGAGAGAGGGAGACACAGAATCTGAAACAGGCTCCAGACTCTGAGCTGTCAGCACAGAGCCTGACGCGGGGCTGGAACTCACGGACCATGAGATCATGACCTGAGCCGAAGTCAGCTGCTTAACTGACTGAGCCACCCAGGCGCCCCTCTCTATATTTTTTTTAAAGCTTGTATTTCCATATCCCTGACTGAAATATAAATTCCAAAGGACAAGGAATGTTGCATGCTTTGTTCAATGATGTATTTTCATTTCCTTGAATACTGTGTGGCACACAGTAAGCACTCAGTAAATAACTGCTGAATGAGTGATAAGATCCTACTACATGCCAGGTTCTGTCTTAAGTCCTGAAGGGCCACATGAATAAACTCGACAGAGAATTTCTCCTTTACTGGAATTGATTTCAAGTTGTCTATCAAAATCTACTCTGCCCAAGTCTCCACGTTGACCGAGAGAAGAAAACACTTGATGGGTAGTGGTAAGACTGGAAATTATTAATTAGCCTTGCTTTCTTTACAAACCATCACCACCCTTACCACTCCTATACTTCTGTCCCAATTACTGGATATTGTTTTGCTGATGTTTTGGAGATTAATTTTAATGGATGTAGTTGTTAATTGATGGCTCCACCAAAAACAAACAAAAAACAACATGGTAATCTGTCTAAGTGTCACAGAATAAACCAGTGGTAAAATAGTCTCTTTAACATTACATTATTTTACACACACACACACACACACACACACATACACACATACACAGAGACACACATATATATACACATATATATCTTACTTATCAGATATATATATCTTACTTATCAGATATATATATATATATATATCTTACTTATCAGATATATTCACATATTGAGGTAGAATTGACTACAAAGTGAATTAGCCGTTTTCAAAAAATATGTTCTTATGGACTATCATATTTAAACTGCATAAGTATACTGGGGCGCCTGGGTGGCGCAGTTGGTTAAGCGTCCAACTTCAGCCAGGTCACAATCTCGCGGTCCGTGAGTTCGAGCCCCGTGTCAGGCTCTGGGCTGATGGCTCAGAGCCTGGAGCCTGTTTCCAATTCTGTGTCTCCCTCTCTCTCTGCCCCTCCCCCGTTCATGCTCTGTCTCTCTCTGTCCCAAAAATAAATAAACGTTGAAAAAAAATTAAAAAAAAATAAATAAACTGCATAAGTATAAACCTCGTCTGAAGTGCATCCTTTAGTAAGTTACATCAGTCCTGACACTTATCAGGTGACTTTAGGTTGGGATTTTTTTATGTGTTTTTCCACACACCACACAGATAGCAGCTGTCTTTAGAAGTCAAGCAAAGCAGGGAAATAAATCATTAGTAAGCAAAAGGTTTAAACCAGCTGATTCACACTTTGCCATTCATTTCTATATATCAAATAGTTAAATTTTAGAAGAAAAAGGCTGACGCTGCATCATTCCAAAATTTCTTTAAAGGTTATTATCTTTTAAAATTTACTTTGAGAGAGAGAGAGTGAGAGAGTGGGGGAGGGGTGGAGAGGGAGGGAGGATCCCAAGCAAGCTCCACGCTGTCAGCACAGGGCTCAACATGGGACTCGAACCCATGACCATGAGATCATGACCTGAGCCAAATTTAGAAGTTGGACACTTAACCCACTGAACCACCCCAGGCACCTCCCAAAATTTCTTTAAATCAGAGAGTGCAGGGCCAGAATACATTGAATGACTGTCATGCAACTTCCAACTTTCTGATCTCAACCATCAGGCTTCCCACAGATGAGATTAACAAAGACCAAAGAATTTAATGTGCTGTTCTACTCAGTTTTAATTTTTTGTATTGCAATCAATGTCTTATTCAAGTTGCCAAGTGTAGGTATCAAAGAATACTATGTTTTAAAGATTCACTAAAAAGCAAAATTTGAAGAAATTCAACACTATGGTTGCTACAGCCAGTCATGTCCTCTTGGTTTAAAATACTCACCAAGACATTCCCTTCACATTTTGTGAGAAAATATGAGCAAGTATCAGTATCTCCTCTAATACTCATCAGACATTTGAAAACTATGAAATCTTAAAGGGTGTCCATTATTTTATGTACTTTTGTTCCATGAAAATTACTCTTTTTAAAAAAAATATTATTGAGGACTTTTAAAAAATAAGATTTGAGAAGGCACCTATATTTTTGAAATGTTGGTAAATTCTGACTCATTCTATCATCAACTATAATTTTAGTATCTTCATATGTAGATATTTTCTAATTACACTCCCAAGGCAATAACAATAGTGTAATTAAATAAGGGACAGTTAAATAATCATCAGATAAATTCGTTTTAACTTTTTTATGTAGTGATATTTTATAGTTTTATACAGAAATTATATCTTGCTTATAAACTCAAAATGGATGAAAGACCTAACTGTGAGACAAGAAACCATCAAAACCCTAGAGGAGAAGGCAGGCAACAACTTCTTTGACCTCAGCCACAGCAATTTCTTACTCGACACATCTCCAAAGGCAAGGGAATTAAAAGCAAAAATGAACTATTGCAACTTCATCAAGATAAAAAGCTTCTGCACTGCAAAGGAAACAATCAACAAAACTAAAAGGCAACCGACGGAATGGGAAAAGATATTTGCAAATGACATATCAGATAAAGGGCTAGTATCCAAAATCTATAAAGAACTTACCAAACTCAACACCCAAAAAACAAATAATCCAGTGAAAAAATAAGCAGAAGTGATGAATTTAGACACTTTTCCAAAGAAGACATCCAGATGGCCAATAGACACATGAAAAGATGCTCAACATCACTCATCATCAGGGAAATACAAATCAAAACTACACTGAGATACCACCTCACACCAGTCAGAGTGGCTAAAATGAACAAATCAGGAAACTACAGATGCTGGCAAGGATGTGGAAAAATGGGAACCCTCTTGCATTATTGGTGGGAATGCAAACTGGTGTAGCCGCTCTGGAAACACGTGTGGAGGTTCCTCAAAAAAATTAAAAATACAACTACGCTATGACCCAGCAATAGCACTACTAGGAATTTATCCAAAGCATACAGGAGTGCTAATGCATAGGGGCACATATACCCCAAAGTTTATACCAGTGCTTTCAACAGTAGCCAAATTATGGAAAGAGCCTAAATGTCCAT